GAGATCAATCAACAAGGAAAACGATATTGATAGGTGAGATCAATCAACAAGGAAAACGATATTAATACTCTAGGCGAGATCAATCTTACCAAGGTAGAGGTATAGGGATGCCAAAGACTAGGATGTTTAAGGAGAAATTTTAAGTTGTTTCTTTTCAATTAATGAAGGGGAAATGAAGTAGTAATTTATTGTAATATTATATTTACATATTATGTGTTATATTTGTCAGTTACTAATGATTATATATATAGATATTTTATTATATGTTTTATAATGTATGATGAGTAGAATAATTATGTAAGATAAACTTAACTTCCTAAAATTTTATGTATACATTTATCCATATATATATATTTCCTATTGTGAAAATGGAATAAAATGTCGGAAGCTAAAATACCTAAATTATCAATAATATTTTATAAAGCTACCATTAAAAAAATTACATTTACTCAATAAAATACCAACAGTCAAAACAATTATTACTCAAGAAGCTACTATTAGTGAAAATAATTATAAATGTAAACAATATGATACATAATATTTTCATTCAATCAATTATATTACAATATTCAATTAAATTTCTTATTTAATTTATTATTAAATAGATCAATCGTCATTTAAATTTTAAGATTTCTTTTTTTTTATAAAAGCATTTTATAAATTTATAAAATCAAAGTATTATAACCTTGATCATAGTACAAAAATGTATAAGAATCATTTATTTTTATTTCATGGATAACAAATAATGATGCAAACATTAATCATTAAACATTTTAAAATATATATTGTTAGCATTGTTGCAGAAACACAATTTCAATCCATATTTTTCTCCATAACTTAATTTTTGGAGTTATCTCCAATAATACAAGGTAAGATTTGTTATTTCTTATAATAATTTTAGGGCAGACCTGATTTTGTTATGATTCTCTAAGTGGTTTACCCAGGTTTTCCCAGTTTCCCTTATTACGAATTCACATGTTTTTTTGTATATATACTAGGAGTTAAACCTAATATTTTCATTATATCTGTTACTATTATCATTAATATTTTATAAAGCTACCTTTAAAAAAATATGATCATAGTACAAAAAAGTATAAGAATCATTTATTTTTATTTCATAGATAACAAATAATGATGCAAACATTAATCATTGAGCATTATAAAAAATAAATTGTTAGAATTGTTGCAGCGAACACTATTTCAATCCATATTTTTCTTTATAACTTTTGGAGTTATCTAATATGAGGTAAGATATGTTATTTCTTATAATAATATTGAGGCAGACCTGATTTTGTCATGATTCTCTAATAAGTGGTTAATCCAGGCTTTCTTAGTATTCATAATATTTTAATAGTTGGTAGTAGAGCTAAAATAATTAAAATAATCGAAGTTATTTTGTTTAGATTATGAAAGGAGTACCATTATAATTAAAATAAATAATGGAATAACATTGCCGCCGAACGCCTCAAAATTTTTAAGGAGGGTAGGAATAGATTTTGAGGTAGGTTTGCACCCAGTTAAAATCCTGTCATCTGTCAATTAGACCGAAACTACTTTGTTAAAACTCTAAGTATATTTAATTAAAACATCTTTACTTATTTGTTTTATAATAGATTGAAGAAAAAATAAATTGATTTTGACATGAATGCTTTAAATAATGGAAATGGAAGCTATATTGATAATATTTTAGACAAAAGAAGAGGAGCCAATGAAAGTGTTAGAGGTATATTTAATTAAAACATCTTTTAGTCATTTATTTTATTTTATTAGATAATGAAGAACAAAGATATTGGTTTTGGGGTAAATATTTTAAATGATAGAAATCGAAACAATATTGATGTTGATTAATTTCAGACAAAAGAAGAGGGAGAAATGAAAGAATTGAAGTTGAACAAAGTATATTTAATTAAAAAATTTTAGCTCATATATTTTATATTTATAAAATAATGAAAAAAGAAGAGTTATTGATTTTGAGATGAAAGATTTAAATAATAGAAATAGAAGCAATATTGATGTTGATAATATTTTAGACAAGGGAAGATATGAAAGAGTTAGTTGAACAAAGTACATTTAAAATGCAGTTTTCAAATTTCAAAGAGGAATTGTATTCCTGAGAGATTTAAACATTAAAAGCAAAAAAATTAAGTGAAAGAAAATAGGTAAATTTATTTTTATCTAAGATTTTTATTTGTAAAGCAAAAGAAGCTATATGTGAGGCTCAATCTGAATATATTTCTTATGGTATTAAATTTTTTATTATAATTAAAGATAAAATTAAATATAAGCATAATGAGCATGCTATAGCCTGATTGTAGGTATAAATATAAAGGTATATTGGATAATGAAGGAAAAACTAATATTTTTTATCACTTTTATAATTCTTTACTTGAAAAAGTTGTATTTGAAATTACAAGTATTTAATTCTCTGATATGATAAATTATAATATAGTTATAAATAAATAAAAAATTTTGCAAAAAATATATATATAAAATTTTGAAAGAGAAATGGGATGATCAATACAAACAGCATATCAACAAGCAATGTTCAACCAACGACATGCAAACAACGATGTTTCATGATGTTCGATAATCGATTCAACAAACGATAATCAGATGGTCAAACAAACAATCTAAAGATACGAACAAATGACTAATGGAGCAATTGAGAAACGAATGACTGGAAGTGAAGATAAGAAACTGAGGAAAGAAGACATTAAAAAAAAGAGGGAAATGTTAATATATAAATTTTGCATAAACTATATATTTTTTACTTTGTAATTAATGACCTTTTTGTAAAAATTCTTTCTTTTAAATTTATTTAATGACCTTTTATATTTTCCTAATTTTCGTAAATGTTAATTTAATTTAAGGACGAATTTGTTAAAATTTAACCTTTTAAAAAAACTTATGTAAAAAGTGTAAATTAAAATTGTATATATATATCTAATATATATAATCTCCATAATCTCAAACCACGATCGTTTTCGTATCTCAATTTTTTGTTATCTACGAGAGTCGAACCACAAACCTCCCGTTTCAAAGGTCTGTGCTTTAGGCATGAACCAACTTGAATATAATTAAATTTAAAATATTAATTATATATATTAATTAATAGATGATATTTTTAAAATTTTGCTGTTTATTACCATAACTAGCTGACGGTGTTGAAGTTAATTATTTAATTTGTGTGTATGGTACTAAATATATTTTATTAATAAATTTTATAAAAATATTAAAATTTAGGAGAAAAAGAGGTAAAATTGTTGCAATACAGTGAGCATTAAGAGTATTTTAAATATATTTAAATTTGTGATGGAAATTATATTGGATAAAATTTAAAATAGAGATGCTTGAAGATTTTTGAATTTTAAATGTTAGACATTTGGCCTGAAATTTTTTTTTGCAGACATAGCTAGGCCTGATCAAAAAACCAAGGCTCATGCAACTTTCATATTCTGATTGTATTTTTAAATGAATTATGACTTTTACATATTTTGTTTCATTTCTTAACTACCAAAATTCTTATGGTCTTTGGCGGTCTTGAGAAAATTTTTTCAACATGATTATGAGCATGAATCTGTTGGGAATTTTTTTATATTAGATATTAATTATAATATTTATATGGGTCTCAGATAAAAGCTAATTTAAATATATTTTTACTCAAAAAATAGTATTCACTATTAGTCCTAATGAGTTGGTCTGATCTGAATTAGGATTAAGCGAGATTAAAAAGAATAAAAAATGAATATGGTTTTTAAAGATTTACCTATCTCCAGGCTTGAGAAAATAAATTCAAAATTATTACGCGTTGGCGTTGGCCAGGTTTGAGAAAAATTTTTTAAAATTATTATCAGCTTGGACGCTTGGGAATTCTATTATCAAATATGGATCAATTGACCTAAAACAAATTTTTTTGCAGGCCTGGGGACCTGGCCGGGGGAGGGGGTTATAAAAAATAAAAAGATATTATTTTCAAATAACAGGTAACAACTATCATAAAAGTAGGGAGAAAAACTAACTAATTACCTCTCAACCCCGTCATTCTTGACGGGTTATTAGCTAGAATATATATTAAATTGTAAAATTTTAAGTATTAGTATTAATAAAAAATAAAATAAAAATTTAATTATTTTTTATTTTTTTTAAGCCTTCCGTTGTTCTAAAATGTGTTATTTTCATAAAAGGCAGGTAAAGAAAAAGTAAAAAAAAATTATTTAATTTATCTTTATTTTTATTACTATTACTACTGAAGATATTGAAAATTTTACAACTATATACATTATTATTTTAATACTATTTACATATATACAATTTACAATTTGTTTTAAGGTTACTTTAAGAAAAGTTATTTTAACGTTTTACATATACAAATACGATATCTTTTTTTAAAGGTCGCAAAAAATATTATCACAAAACGAAAAAAAGGTCATTAAATAAATTTAAAAAGAAAGAAAAATATAAATTTTTTATATTCTAATTAACAGTAAATATTTAATACTGTAATAAATAGATAAATATTTTGTAATAAAAAATATTATCTTTAGTTTACCAAATGTCTTGTATTGTTTTACTTATTTATATGATAGTATTAATATGTATGCTAAATAATTGACAAAATATAAAATTTAAATATTAGCAGTTTGCAAATTTCAATATAAAACTATATATATTTTTAAAACCCGGCCTAAGGCTGGGAAAATGTTAAAATGGTTTGGGGGCCATAATTTTTTTTTAGTTGAGCCCTCTGAAATTCTAAAGGGTTGTGAGGTCCCTGTTTTGATCTACTTATAATTATATTATAATACCTGCAAAACTGTTATCTAAATCTTACTTTTGGTTATATCTAATCTATCTTTAGGGATTACACAAATTGAAAACAATATTGAATTTATATAAATAATATATTTACCTAATATATAATAAGTTAAATGTTAAATTTTGGACAGAAGCAGGATTTTAAATTTATTTCGCAGTTAGGTATTTTAGGCACTCTCGCGTGACTAAATAATATTTAACCTTTAAAAGTTTGTTTCCTCTTTTAAAATGAAAATAACAAGTGATGTCAATAATGAAGATATACAAAAACTCAAAGATGTGGCGAATAAACTGAGAATACATTCTATAGAGGAAACTAATGCATCCAATTCGGGGTAATTTTTTAAGATAAATATTTAAATTTTTTTTTGTTTAGCCACCCCACCAGTTGTTGTTCATGTGCAGAGGTTATGTCTGTCTTATTTTTTAATGAAATGCGCTATAAGCCAGAGAATCCTCAAGACCCAGCTAATGATCGCTTTGTTTTGTCTAAAGTATTAATGTTTATATAATTAAATTTATTCTATTAATTAGGGTCATGCCGCACCTATTTTATATGCTTGTTGGGCAGAAGCTGGTTTTATACCTTTGGCGCATTTATTAACCCTTCGAAAATTTGATTCAAACTTACAAGGACATCCAACAGCTGTAATAATTAAAGCTTTATTTTTTTATTAAACTTTATAATAGGAGCTGCCTTTCATTGATGTAGCCACTGGATCACTTGGGCAGGGATTGAGTTTTTGCTGTGGAATGGCTTATACTGCTAAGTATTTAGAAAATGGAAAGTAAATTTAATTTGATAACTATTAATGTAATTAGTATATAGGGCTCCTTTAAGAGTTTATTGTTTGATGGGTGATGGTGAGTTTGCTGAAGGAAGTGTGTTTGAAGCCATGAGTTTTGCTTCATTTTATGAGCTTGATAACTTAGTGGCTATCATTGATGTTAATCGTTTAGGACAAAGTGGGGAAACCATGCTCGAAAAAGAAAATAAATCTGATTTTTATGCCAAAAGAGCAGAAGCTTTTGGGTATGAACTTTTTTTTTAGCTTATTTAATTCTCTAAATTATACAGCTTTCAAGCAGAAACTATTGATGGTAATAGTGTTGAAGCTTTGATAGGGGCATTTACAAATGCAAGGAACTGTAAGAAAAAACCTTATTGTATTGTTGCCCAAACCTTAAAAGGAAAAGGGATTCCAGGTTTTAAAAATATAACATCTTGTTATATTTAAAAAAAAAATTTATAATAGGTATTGAAGGCCAATCAAATTGGCATGGAAAACCCTTAGGTGATAAAGCAGCTGATGCCATTAAAGCTATTAAAAGCCACATTGTCAATCAAAATCTTGGGGTTCCACCATTGAAAATTAAATCTCCAGAATTTCAACTTGCCCCTAACCAATTGGAAAAAATTCACATCAATCTCAGTCAATTTCCAAAATACAAAATTGGTGAAAAGGTTTTTGATAATTATATTTAATTCTAATTTTTTTTATAATATCTAACATATTTATTTTTAAAACTTAAAGTTTTACTTGACTGACAAGGCTGGAAACTACAATTAGAATTATAACATAGTAAAACTTTTATATAGTTACCCTTCACTATAATTTACTATCTAGTGCAATGTTAAATAATTTGGTTATGGTTAACATAATTTTTTAAATACAATATACACAATGACATTTTTTTTATATTGAATTAAATAAAAAGATTAATTATCACTAGTGATCTACATCAGGCCTAATTTTTCAAGCCTGGCCTCACCCAATTTTTTTTTAAAAAAAAGTTTTGCCAGCCTACCCAAAATTTTTTTACATAAAATTTACCAGCCTGGCCTGAATTTATTTAAATATAGTTTTATAATTAATAAATGTTATATGGCGTCTAGTTCTATAAATAAAATTAAATATTTTTATTTTACATAAAAAATTCAATATAAAATTATTAAATTTAAATATATTTAAAAAATTTCTATCTGACCTGTCCCAAATTAGGCCCAAACCCAATTTTTTAAAAAAATTAGGCTTTTGGGCTGGGTATGTTGCGGGTCTACTTTTGCAGATCTTTAGTTATCACTACTCTAATAATTGATAGTTATCAGGCTTAATTAATAAGATTACCTTGGTGTTTAATAATTAATAGTTAACTATATCCGGTTTAATTAATAAAGATACCTTTGGATGTAATTAAAAAGGGTAACTAGTGGATATAGGTAAACCTCACTATAATTAACCAAATAAATTGGCCAATGGAATGATTAATTGTGTTTTTAGGTGTGGAAATTATTTTATGTAAGATGTCAGTTATTTCAAAATAATTCTAAGATTTTAAAAATTTCCCATCTGATCCATAAAATTTTTCTTCACAAGTTTTCTGGCCTGACTAAAAAAGTGGCACAGATACGTCTTAGCTATAAATGTTTATGTTCTATTTTTTAGATAGCGACCCGTGCAGCTTATGGTGATGGTCTAGTGAGCCTCGCTGACAATTGCCCCTTGATTGTGGGTATGGATGGAGATGTCAAGAACTCAACATTCTCAATAAAACTAATGGAAAAGCACCCAGATCGGTTCATAGAATGCTATATAGCAGAACAGTTACTTGTAGGTGTAGCAATAGGCTGTGGTGCTAGGTCAAGGACTATACCCTTTGCTTCTACCTTTGCCTGCTTTCTGACTCGGGCATTCGATCAGATACGCATGGCAGCTCTCAGCCAGGCAAATATTAAGCTATGTGGAAGTCATTGTGGGTGTTCTATAGGTTAGTATAATATGGAATTTCTGATATTTTATATATGCTATGGGGTTTTTTAATTTGGTGGAATTATGTTTTTCTTTTGGTATATGAACTAAAGCTCTGCAAACTCAATTTTCTTTAACCTGATCTTCTTTAAAAGTTTAACATATTTTAGAAAGTTAAAGAAATTATTACTCGTTTCTTTGTCCAATATAAAAGAAATTATAATAATTGTTTTATTTTTATGTAGTAATGAAGGAATATTTATTTTTATTTTTTAGAAATCACGGGTCGATTTTTTATTGAGTCTACCCTAATTTTTCAACAATTGTAATCCTGAGGCTGCATTCAAAGTGGAGACGGATCCTTTCCATCGAAAGTCAATCTCATTAAAAATGATATATATGTTCAAAGTGCGTCCGTTCCGATACCTTCCATCTTAAAAACGGATCCGGCAAATTTTATAGAACGTTATAACGTTACTTATAATATTTTAAAAATGAAAATCAATATTTATCATTTTTAATGAGAATTGACTTTTGATGGAACAGATGTAAAAAACGGATCTGTCTCCACTTTGAATGCAGCCTGATGATTGTTTTTTTAAATAATTGATGCACATTATTTTTTCAAGGTGAAGATGGCCCTTCACAGATGGCTCTTGAGGATATAGCCATGTTTAGATCTATCCCCAAATGTTTGATTATCTACCCCTCCGATGCTGTAGCCACCGAAAAGGGCATGGAACTCATGGCTAATTACAAGGGCATTTCTTATATAAGAACAAGTCGACCCACAACTTCTGTTATATACTCACCTGAGGAGGTCTTTGAGATAGGCAAATGCAAAGTAAATTTTACTAATTTTTTGTACAAATCCTGGCACATTAATATTTTATGAAAAATCAGTCTCAATCCATAAAAGATTTTTATATGAATTTTTTGGCCATTACATTAATATAATATCTGTATCTAATTTTTCTCAGTCAATTAAGGCTCTTATATCTACTTTATGGCTATTTATTTCTATAAAAATGGTTTTATAAATCAATTGCTTGATATCTGTATTAGAGGTGGGCGCGGGCCTAATTTTTTATTCATGGCCTACATGCTCACGGTGCAATTAAAAAATTTTACGCCCTTTTACACTTAATATTTTGACCCAACCCACCTGCTCACGAAAGTAGTGTTGTTTACCGGCTCGTTTTGAGTTGATTTTTAAAAACGGCTAACTCAATATTTTAGCCAGAAAAATATAGCCTAAACCTCGAGATTTCGATAATTTTATGTCTAGACCTTTGTTCCTTCTATGAACAAAATCTGCAGGCTTGCGTAATATTTTTCTGGATGAAATATCGAGTTACCTGTTTTTAAAAATAGACTCAAAACGAGCCGTTTAACAGCACTACACGTAAGACAATATTTTGTTCATGCCCAAAAATTTATGGCGTTTTTAAATTTCTTAAAACATTATGCCATACTTTTACGCTTTTTTGAATTTATTCTATAGTAGTTTTTATTTCTCTAATTCCATATTAATAACACTAATTACAATTTATAAATCAAAATTATTTAGAAAAAGAAGAAAGTCCATGTTTTTTTATTTCAACTGTGTTCGCCTTTCCTCTAATCAATTGTCTATAGAAAATTACCATTCACTAGCGAACTTGCCTGGGCTGATAAAATTTTACTAACTAATTTTCTTAAAAAAGGAAATGAATTTTCCTGCTTCTCAAACTTCAAGATATTGTAATTGTTATTTGTTTTATGAGTGATGAATTTACTTTCATCTTTAGATGCTGACGCTTCATCAGATCTATAAATTCTCTAATGTTTCATTTAGAATATAGTGTTTTTTTGTGTGATGAATTAGAAAAGTTGTAAATGATAGTTTTATGCATATATTCTAATTTTGTATCATTTATTTTTATTGTTTTTTTTATAAAAATTTAAGACTTTTGAAATTTGGATCTAGAATGGCTGCATAATAAGTAATTCCTTTATTGAGAAATGTTGTCCTGTTTTTTAGGGGTTTGATTATTATTATATCATCTTCAGCGAAATTTTACAAATTTTTGTTTCTCTATTTAAACTCATTGTGGGACGAGAATCTGTTACCGAGCATTCTTTAAATATTGATTAAAATTTAATGCGTGCATAAACAATCATTGTACTATGTATATTTATTATGATCATTATGTGGTAAATTATTCAAAAAATTTTGTACACTCAAACAATTGAGAAGCAATGGAAAAGCTATTAATCTAGAACAGATATAAACAAAAGACAAATTAATATTTAAATCTACATATTTTTTTAGAAATTTGTTAATTTAAATGTAAGAGGAAAATTATTGTTATTTATACATATATTAGATAATTATAATTGAGTATTTAGATTGGTAGTAAGTATGAAAAAATTTAAACAATAAGTTATTAAGATCTCTAATCTTCCTATAAATTTTGACTGATTATAATTTGAGTGCAAATGATTAGTATATATATATATATATAGTAAAGATAAATGAAAATAAAAAATATTTAAATTAAATTTATTTTTTCCCAAATTTCTATTGCTGAATGAGAGAGAGAAATATTCTTTTTCATTTATTTGAAATTTTATAAGACGAGAAAAAAAATTTTGTTTATAAAATGCGTTTTTTTGTTTTTTTCAAAAAGAATTAAATTAGAAAATATATGTTATAATTATAAAATTGCAAACTTATATTCATAAAAATCAATTTTGATAATTAAAATTTCCCTACGGAAAGTTTATGTTCACGCCCAAACGCGCCCGGCAAAAATTTTGGGAAGGCCCGTCACGCCTAATAATTTAAAATTTATTCATACTCACGCCGTGACCCTTCGTGTCACGCGTAATTTTACGGCCGCGCCCACCTCTAATCTGTATTGTAATGTTTAATTTTTTGTGAATTTATTATATTAGTTATAGATTTAGTATTATATTTAGATTGCTCTCAAAATTTTAAAAATAAACATTGCAATTTAAAATGATGAGCCTCGCGAAGGTTTTTACTTAAGGCAGAGGATCGCAATAGCCATTCTTAAGGCTAATTATGTTTGTTTTATTAATTCCATCTCTCCTGATGATTAGGTGAAGAAGGTTTTGACTAATTTTGCTGCTTTCGCTTTTATATATCTATTTTGTTTTACTTTATTTTATGATCTATGCCTCATTATTGTCCTTTTGTTATTATGTTTTTTTTTCGTAATCGTTTACTAATTATAAATTAATAAAATGTTAATTTAATCATAATATTTTGAAATTCAATAAAAATATATCCCGATTTTAATGTCTAGGCTGGCTTGTTAAAATTTTACGAAAAATGAGATTTGCAAGGCTCTGCCTGATTTTTTATATATAGAAATTATACATCCTATATAATATATTGCATTTATATACGATTAATCTCTAAAAACTATCATAGACTAAAAAAACTACGGCTGTGCTGATATTAGGGTGACCTAATATATTTCAAAAAATGCCACCATATTGGCAGTTAATTTTTTATGCATAAAATTTTTATAGCATCGATATTTGTTGTTAAATGGCTCGATTTTTAAAAACGACTAACCTAATATTTCAGCCAAAAAATATTCTCAAGCTTGGAGATTGTGAAACTTACATAATATTATTTTCACTAAATTCTTAATTTAAAAGGCATCGAGCCATTTAATAATACTAATCCATATAGTATTAGAACTGGCTAAATGAAATTATAATGCGTTAGAATAGGATTGGGTAGTTAAAAGTTGTTATCCTATCCAAAGCATGGGCTGATTGCTGTTAATACTGACTCTTCACCTTTTTTTTTTGATAATTACTTTTAAAGTTTTATTAGCAGCATTCCATTACTTCGTGCCAATTCAGATATATACACATTTATAATCAGGTCATATTAATATTCAACACAGCTTTAAAAAGTATTACAGTATTTCTAAAAAGTTTTAAACAACAAAATGCGGATTTTTTAAAAAAATTTCTAGGATGTTCTGATTGTGTGGTTAACCTTTAATAAAAAGATACCTTTTTTTATTTATAAAAATACCATATTAATAATTTCAAGGTTGTAAAAGAAGGGGTAAAAGATAAAATAACTATAGTTGGGGGAGGAATAACATTGTTCGAAGCTTTAGCTGCAGGGAAGGAATTGTCCAACAAAGGTATCGACGCCTGTATCATTGACATTTTTTCGGTTAGTAACATTTATTTAATAAATTTATCATAATTTTAAGTTTAAACTTATAAATATTTATTTACCATTTAAATTTTTTTAGATTAAGCCTATAGATGCTAAAACGATTAGAGATCATGCTGTACGAACTGGTGGAATTTTATTGACAGTCGAGGACCATTATTTAGAAGGTATTAAGATATTAGCTCTATTAAAAAAAGACTTGTCATTTATAATATTGGTATTGTTTAATGAGATCTTGAACCTAAAAAAATCTAGTTATTTTGTCGCTTAACTGCTTTGATCTGAATGCAGCTGACTACTTTTTTTGTTGAGCAGCTTAAAATCGGACTATTAATCTTTACTATATCGGTTATATATATTTTTTCATATTCCTAATGTAAGGTGGCATGGGAGAAGCTATCAACTCTGCTCTCTCTGAACAGAAAGATGTTAAAATAAAAAATCTCTATGTAACTGGATTGCCTAGGAGTGGGTTACCGGAACAACTTATGGAACATTTTGGAATATCTAAAAATTGTATCGTAAAAGCTGCTCTGGCTCTTTTGCAGCATTGATGGATTACATTTCATTCATATTTTTTAAAATACATTTATATGACTAATCATGACTTAATTTTTTAGACAATTATAAACAACATAATGACTTATTTTGTGGAATTAATTAAAAATAGTTTTATATACTGATTTATTTTTAATTAGTCAAATTTTGTTATATATATATATATTTAAATAATTAAATTATATAATTCATCAAATATAATTTTACATTAATCCCTCCAGTCAAACAGCATAAAAGTGTTATATTATACTTCTTTATCAAATTTTTGCATATATTTATTAAATGACGATTTTTTTAAAAAATAAATTAATATTTACTCATAAAATTATCTAGATATAAGTATTATAAAATTGTAGATCTTTAATGGCATTGATAAAAAATTTATTCATATAAATTATAATTTATAGTGTATTTTTACTAAGATAATTCAAATCCGGTATTGCTATTTATGGCGTATTTTAGTTTTTCCCTCAAAATACTTTTCTTGCTGTAATTAGGTAGTTTTAAGAGATTAAAACAAGTGGATGCAGTAGGAAGTCTAGTTTTGTTCAATTTATTGGGCTGTTTTTTAAGTGACAAGAATCCCTGAATAACGGTAGCTATCGTATCTCCATTGTCCTAAAAAAATAATTTTTAATTAACTAACGAGTGGCAATATGGTTAAGTGTAATCAATAATTTTTTTAAATATTTGAGAACTATTTTGCAGCTACAAAATTTTTATTGAAATCCCACTTAATTTTTTAATAAATATAATCAGTTGTATATAGTGCTGTATTCATATCAACCACCATTCCTTCATTTTTAGTTTAAGCTCTCGTTAAATTTTGAGTTGAATGTTAATCAATCCAAATTCAAAGTAAATGTTAATAAAAATATTCTATTTTAGATTTATTTTAAGAATATTATAATTCAGGAATTAATATTTTAATTAAAAAAAACTACATTCCTCAAAAATGAAAGAGATTAATGAACATTTGAATAGTAATAAAAAAATTGAAGCCAATCAACTCATACTCATCGAGATGTATATGTATAATCTATCTACATCAAAGATGAAGATAGCTCAATCGCTATTGATAAATTAGTTTTTAATTTTGTAATTGAAGAATTATAACTATTTTCAATTGTAGAAAGCACATATTTTATTAATATTAACAAAAAATTGCATGATTATCTAGCAAAAATAATCTTTGAAAATTTTACCAAATATAAGATACAAAATAAAGTGACCAAATACATTATCGATAGAAATTATTTAATAGCTTTCAAGTAAAAAATAATAATATAATTATTAAAAATTTATTAGAGTATATGAACAAGGAGATAAAATCGAAGATGAAATAGTTCCTCTACTATTGTTTGATCTGTTTGAAAATCAAAATACTAATGATAGTATTGTATACTTACCTAAGCTTAATTCATCTTCAGCACCCACTTTAAATTTCATTGCTAATGTTGACAATGAAAAGGCAGGTGACGATGTCCATTTTAAAACCATTTCAAAAATTACATTTTCTAAGTGTAAGCTATTGTGGAATAAACAGGCAATCTTCAAACTGTGTATGTCTTATTAAGGAGAATTGACGAATCTTGTTATAAATCTGAATTGCAGAGATTTTCAGATAACGACAAGTTGTTCATGGATGAATATTGTATGGTTAGTGTTAATTAAGAAATGTGATATGTATGACTTTATATGTTATGGGACCGATTGCTACGGCTCTTTCAATTTTAGAGCGCGAAGAAAAAATGCATGTGGGATATCTCACTCCCACGATAACTATTATATTATAACCCCAAAAAATGGTTTTAAATAATTTCAAGTTTTGTAAGCCGCTTATTTCAATCCTGGAAGGCATAGATAAAAGGTATACAGTTCAAATTTTGCTTACAATTTATATTTTGATTATCTTTTATTTTCAATAGATTCAAACACATCTATAAAGATGAATATATGCTATCAGCAATAATTCACCCGCTATTTAAATTGGATTGGCCCTGGATAAAATTAGATGTCAACAAAGGAAGAATCCTAGAACTTATTTCCAGTTTGAGAAAAGATCTTAATAAGAAAGCGCAGACTTAATTTCTTTCCACCACACATACTAGAATATTTTCTGATAAAGATAAAAATATTTTTGACGAGGAAATAAATGAAGATCCTTGTGAAGATGATCTATTAAGCTTTTTCAAAATAAAGATAATTCATTAGATATTTTTAATAAATTCCCTGAATTAAAATTTTTATTTATTAAATATAATACAACTCTCCCACCCTATACGCCAATTGAATGTGTGTACAGAACGGAGAACAGTTTTGAGCATAAGCGTTCTTATTTGTCTGATCAAATTTTGAAAATCAATTGCTGCTAAAAAAAAATAAAAAATTATCACAAAAAGATGTCAACTTATATATAATATATTATTTTTGTATAATTTTATTTATATTATAATTATATATATGAAAATTTTTTTTATAAAAAGATCTTATTTATATTAAATATTGTAGGAAAAAAATTCAAAAAGGTAACGAGTAACGGTAACGCGTTCATTTTTTCAGACGTAACGGTGACGCGTTTCTAATTTGAAGTAACGTTTATAGCACTAGTTGAATATAATATAATCACGAAAATATAATTTTGATAACTCACTTCTGGCTAATTTTTTTATATTTTGTTTGAAAAATACAGAGGCGCTATATAGGTCGTCTATAGCAATTGCTGAACAAGGACCAAATTTTATTAAAATGCAATAAGATCCACTCTTATTTTAATATATATTAAAGGAATCATGCTTCCGATATTCTATATATCATATCGTAGCACGGTACCACCTAGTTGTTTTCATAAAACCTTGGTTCTTATTGATTCGAATCTAGATCTATAAGGTAGGTGACAAATGATTCACTGACTAGGTCACAGGCCCTACTATTTTTTAGTATAAGGATAAATTATGACGCTATCTAATATTTTAATAAAACAGATAAAAAAAATCAATAACGTTGAATACCTTGCATCTGTACCCCTAAATATATGGGAAAACGAGAAAATGATTAAACTAATTTTAAGTTTTGGCAAAGTTTTTTTTATTTTCCTTATAACTCATTAACGGTTAATTCACCTGGTATCCAGTTAGAAGGTCAATTAGGCTAAATGGGCTACACAATAGCAAAATTTAAAAGTATAACGAAATATCTAAAAAAAATTACTATCATCATTATTTACAGTAGAGATCTGCAAAGTTAGGTCCGGCCCGAGTCCGGTCCTAATTTTATTTAAAATAATCGGGTTCGGGCCGGGCCTAGTATTTTTAAAAAAATTTCGGACCGGGTCGGACCTTGGAAATTTTTTTAAATAAATCTAAATTTATCAATTTTATATTGAATTTTTTATGTAAAATAAAAAATTTTGATTTAATTTATTGAAACTAAACGCTATATAACATATGTCTTTTATTTTAAGTAATTATAAAAATTAATTTCTATATTTATATAAATTCGGGCCTGGCCGGGCCGGTAAATTTTATTAAAATAAAATTCGGGTTCGGGCCGGGCCGGCAAAACTTTTTTAAAAAACTTCGGGCCGGGCCGGGCTTGAAAAATTAGGCCCGATGCAGATCACTAATTTACAGTCCCCTTTTTTAAAATCATATTTCAAAATATGAAACTCGATGTCTCTGACTTAGGATTGATACTCTTATAATTTGTTAGCGGTAGCATAAAAAAGCAGTTCAAATAGACCCATGGAATCTTTGGGAATTGTGACACCAAGGTTTTATAATTAAATTGAAACCGATTCTAAGTGCTGATTTTTTTTACTTTCAAGCGCTAAGGTTACGGTTGTTTACTAAAGTAATACTAAGTGGGTTTTTACAATTGAAAATAGAAAAAGTTAAACGTCGATTCATACCAATTTATAGCGCTTCTGGGAAGCGTTTTATTTTTCAATTTTTTAAATATATAATTTTAACAAGCTTTTATGAAAATTTGATTATAAAATGTTTATTCATAAACTTTTTTAAAAACATGCACTTTTTTTTAAATAGAAAAAGAAATTTCTCATTGTAGCTGCTAGTTATCTCACTTATATTAGGGAAGATTAGAAACATAAAACTATACATTTAAACCTCAGAGTATTCAAGATTATCAAATATGAAATCGCATTATTAAAATGATATATTTTATTCGACATATCGATCAAATAAAATATCAGCCCTACTATATCTTCTCCGTTTAATGGTGATTTCCATATTTACTCAGGTTGGTCAGTTTTCCCTCTGATTTAATCATTAGGAATTTTTTAGCAAGGTTTTTAAAATCGGATTCCCTTCCTGACATCAATCCCTTTAAGTGGTTTTTACACCCCGTTGAGGACACGGTGATCCTATTCTAGACCCAAACCACAGGGAACCCCCTAGACCTCAATTAGCCGCCAAAAGGCGTTGCCACTCCCCAGATGAGGTTGAAGGATTTTGAGGGCTCTTATTTAAAAAATTAAAAAAAAGATGATTTCCTTCTTTACTTTCATAAAATAACAAATTATATTTCAAAAAATAATATATAAACCTCTTCATCGCCAACATCGACACATCTTACAGCGAAAGGTGGTTCTAAATGAGAAAATCCCTGTAAAGGAGCTCTCGAACAACTGGTCACAAATTTTAGGAATTTCGCTTGATCTTGTTTATCGAATTCTTTCACTAAAATATCCCACAACCAAACGATTACTCTGTGCTTATCATGAAAACCTCCGTAGTATTTGGTGTGCTTACGCAAGTCGTGCAAATCTAATTCTCTATTTTCACCTATATATATTTTCATATATTTTTTTTCTATAAGTTTAAATTTTTGGTTAATATAAGATAACGACCAAAGAACATTATTAAATCCTTTTATTAAATAATTTCATAAAGTAAGGTTTGTCTATAGCAGCTAGCTTTCCATTATTTATCAGAAATACACCGATACTTATTACTCACAATGTCTATATCGGCCGAGACTTTAAATTTAAACCAAATATAAAGTAGCCGATATCTTCACAAAAATTTTTTTAAAGTTTAAATTATGAAGCTACGAATATTTATTTTCTAAACCGATAAAAATGAATGAATGCAAGAAATAAATCCCCCCCCCTAGTATTGGTGCATCTACATCTATCAATTTTTTTTTGCTTAGGAGTGCTCAAAAAATAGTTTTGTATTCCTCGGCAAAAAGATATTTAACGAATATAAATTAATGAATAAAAAGTGAATGATTCTTGACAAAGGTCAAAAAAAACATTCATGTCTCAGAGAAAAGCGAAAGTGGAAGGTTTACAATAATAAAATATACCTGAAATGATTTGTTGAAGTTCGGTGGAGGAAAATATCGATATATACCCTGGTTTTATGACGGAATAAAATCCTTTGACAAAGGTCTCGACTTGTTTATGTATTTGGGTGTGCAACCGGTGGCGAGCCATTAGATGGATGTAAGAAAATTTGTTTTCTTGATTGACGGCTATGTTGGTGCCACCTTCGTTATAAACGGATATTAGGAAATTATAAAATATCTCATTTTTTAAAATTAATTTAAGCCGAATCTAATTATATTTTTAGAATTACAGTTTAAATTAATTTTATTTATAGATCGGTTATAGAACATTTTTAAAACACATACATGATATTAATGATAATATTATACGTAATCAATGTACATCCATGATATCGATTTCGTAATTATAGACCGGTTTAGAGCTATAGCACACCTATTCTTAATACTATGTATTTATATTGATTACGTATATATAATAAGGACGTCAATAGCATTTATAATCTCAGATCTCAGGAGGCTTAAAATTTTTTTTAAAATTATTTTCATTAGACCTATTTTTTTTTAGCTAACATTTTCAAAATGACTTTTTTTGGGTATAAAAAAATAACAAATTTTCAGGGGGGCTTCGAGTCCTTGAGCCCCCCTCCCCTTAGTGGTGCTACTAATATATAACCATTGATATTGTGTATGTTAAAAGTTTTCTATAACCAATTTATATTTCAAAAAAATTAAATTAAGCTGAATTTCTAAAAATAAATTAGATTCTTTGTAATATGGATTGCTATAAATAAATACATATTTTGACATAAATTACTATATATAATTTGAAAACCATATTATTAAAATCTTTCCACCAACATTTATTTTCATAGTGCAAATATAATAAAATAACTTTATTAAAAATTTTAAAGTTAATAAAATGAAGTGAAAACTTTATGTAATTTATATTTAAACAGTAAAATAAAAAATGAAAAAAAAACATTCATTTCAAACTAAGAAATATTTTAGGATGTGTTCCATTAAAAACTTCAAGGAAGCCTAATGTTAAAGTTAAAAAATTTAAAAATATGTATATTTTTGCAAAGTTTTTAGTTTTTTATTTTAAAAAGGCTAATTTTGTGTTTATTCGATAAAGATTTGACGGTTTCCTATTTTTTTTGATGTTTAGAAAGCAGCCTTATGAATAATTACTAAATGATTCGCTTGATTTATCATAATATATTATAGGCACATTTTTAAAGTCGCCAAAGTAAGTAACTCGATTAGCAACGGCGTTATTAAATCGGTGTGCAGTTAAAAAATCCCTCATCAAATTTACCGGGCATCAATTCGCAGGTTTCCACCTTTCCCAGACATTCGACATTGACGGCGAAGGTTAAGCCCAAATCTTTCACGTTTTCCTTACAATCCTTGAGGTATTTCAAATTTTTATAAAGAACTGGGTCAGCAGCTCCCAATTCGTCCACCGGGCTGTAGAGTAATTTCAAATTTTCGCTTCTTTCGTCCTTGATCTTTTTGCCAACTCTCTTTGCATTATTTTTCGAAGATCCTGCAGAAGAAGCGTCAACCGCGTTATTTTCTTGTCGTTGAGATAATATTTGATTGTTAATGCCAACTAACCGCCGCCCCCTTTGAATGATTTGATTGAGAAAAAAAGAGGCGAGTTCTATGGTGTCAAGTACCAGACCCTCGTATACGGCTTTACCTATGAGAAGACCCGCGAACTCGAAGAGGCTCAAGTGATTTTCCTTATTGATATAAGAGATAGGTAAAAATTTGAATATAAAGTTTATATTTTAATTTTAAATACTGATAATGTTCATTTACTTGTTTAAGTGAGCCAATTATTTTTATCACTATTTCTAACCTCGACGATTCGAAGGCAATTCTTATCAATTTACTAGTAAATCTAAAGTATCATTTCAAATTTGTAATGTATTAAATATATAAAATGACATTCATAAAGTTTGAAATGACATTTTTCAAATTTGAAAGAACATTTTACAAGTTTGAAATGATACTTCACGCGATGAAATGCTATAAATATTTCCTTTCCATTCAATCATGATTTTAAATCTTAAATATCTAGGACATTAAAAATACTTATTATTTTTTTATAGGTTTCGCTGTTAATGTAAAAAAAAATTCATAGTTGATGATCATATTTAAAAGCAGGGTTCTAAACTAAAAGAATCCCTGAAAATCGAAGCTAAATCCGGACCCGACTCCATTGGTCTAGGAAATTTTCTTAGTCATTTGTGATTATATTTTGCGGATACATTATATTCCTGGAAAATATAGTTGTTATGTAATTGATTCATTTTTTAGCCGATTAAAACGAAACCTAGTTTTACCCGAAAACTATTACCTCAGCCTCAGGTTATTTTTTAAAGATATAACTCAACTTTGTGCAAAAATAAATAAATCACGTCTCAAATGCTTAGCGATTTTTCTTAAACACGCGACTGTAGATTGAGGCAAATTAGCCAATACCCAACTATACCGGAGTACGTAAACTCCATTTTTATTCTATATCAAAATATGAAAAAAATGATCTGACAAATAGCAAAAATCTGGTGCAAACGGATTTCACAAATAGAGAGGCTCAGAACCTCAACAAAAATGGAGAAGGAAAAACTGGCTTACCCGGGTAATCCTGGAAACCCGTCATTAAACGGACTGGTCATAAAATTTCAGGACGATCATATATATCCTTATATGTTAGTCGGATAGCTTATCCACCAAAGCGGAAGATAAATTAAATTTTTTTTTAAATTAGAAAAAACGATTTTAAAAGTCGAGCATGGCAATAAGATACAATTTTTTTTTTTTTAAAAAAATCTGTTTTAAAGATTTTAAGAAATTAGGTATAGATGATGTTCATATTTTCACTAATTACATTTAAAATAAATGGTAAAGCAGAATTAGAATATCCAAAATTTATATTTATAAAATTGTTGTAACAATATCAAATATACTCTCAAAATCAATGAATCTTTTTTTTTAAAAAAAAAAATTAGACAATAGATTTAGCGAATTTGATTACGTTTTTAAAAAACGAGTCTTAAGCCCCAAATTAATTGCAAGCCATCTTTTTTAAAAAAAATAATTGCGCGTATAAACTTGAATAAAGGAGGTTGCCGATGGGTAATATTTATGATCGTTGGTTACCCGAAATAAGTTAAGATCCGGTTCGAATAACTTTTTAACGATCTCTTCCAAAAATTCTTTAAAAACGCCATCTTGGTCGATCCCGGGTTCTTCTAGCCCTTGTGGGTTGACAAAGCGAACCCTTATAATACCTTTGATTTCTAGCGGCGATAATTTCGTTATTTGGACATATCTTTTCATATTTTTTTTCAAAAAAAATTTTTTATACTGACTGTGACTCTCTCCTTCCATCCCTCTCTTTCTTAATTAAAATAATTATACGTTCAGTTGGTGTTAGATAATATCTTTAAATGCTAAAAATATATAATAACTTTATCCAAATATTAAGACAAATTTGCGAAATCTATAATTTCCCCTCAAAACCCTCGATGTTCTATTATGTGATTTAATTTATTTTGAATATTTCTAATTAGCCTAAATTTAGGGGTTTTTAAAAAGTAAAAATTAAATTACCATTTTTTTACTTGGGGGGGGGGGGGGGTAATTATTTATTTTTAGAATTTCCTGGCTAATTATTTTTACATTAGATAAAATTAGGCTAATGCCAAACTAACCCTGCATTCACAGTTAGCGCCAATTCGCGGCGAAATATATTAAAATACAGTGTATAATTTACCACGATTTCGCGCGAACTATGAATGAGAAATAAAGTGTTTGAGTGTTATAATAATCGAGCGTTGTATAATATAGTTTCTAAAAATTTGGATATCGAACTTTTGTACATTTTATCGCCTGCTTACTAGTTTGTATTAATCGAAAATAATTTTCATATTTTTATAATATATTTAGAACTACCCCTGCATATGAATATTATTTTTAAAATAATGTTTATCGAACGTTTAATAACTCAAAGGCTATAGGATGCATCAGCATTAATAAAAAATTTGCCAGCTCAAATTGATATATAATATTTCACTGGGGACTTAAGATGCTAAGTCCCATTCACTCCAAAAGAAAACAGGTCCAGGTAATATATAAATTTTTTAAAAATCCAAAATAACCCATCTTCAAGAATCGAATTTCTGCGGACTTTTATATAATTCGCATTTTCATCTCGCTTGACCCTGTTTGATTCGCGGGACAAATATTTTCGGAAAATCGTAACTCTATCATTCTGAGAAAGAATATGTGGCATGATCTAAAAAAATTTTCATAATATTATTAAGACATTACTATTGAAAATTGTATTAAAATCAATGTGTCATACAAAGAATTAGTGTTGCTGAACCGTTAGGTAAGATGAGACCAGACCGTAGGACCGTCAGTCCAGTCCGGCCCCATTTAAAATATGTTTTTTTGTTATGCTATAAAAGTTTTATGTATTAAATTTATTAAAAATGAAATGTGTTGAATTACCAATATTAATAATTTTTAATATCAAATTTATTAAATATAATATAAATCGATTTGCATATTTAATGAGTTTTTGATATATATTTAATATGTGTAATAGATATTTGGTTATAAAATAAATTTGATTTATATATAAATATTCTAATAAACTTCTAAAAAATCAAATGAATTTCATTTTTTTATCCATGATCAAATTTCATGGTTCAAAACCATCTTTGGATTTATTCTATTCCATTTTTTAAATATTTTATCACTAGCTTCAGAAAAGATCCGTTCATATGCCACTGATGTAGCCTGTTGTAGGAGATAGTCCAATAATATTTTTGCCAGAATTGGGAATCGATATTGATTCCCTTACCACCAATCTAATATGTTGGAATTGATTGGATATAAAATATTGATTAAATAGCTTTGAATCATTTATATCATCTTTCTCGGATAACTCTGATGTCCCAGTCACCGTGAGCCATCCCTGGCTCTTCTCTCCCTCAACGATATTTCCTTAGATAAATATATTGATTAATAAAATAAATAAATATGTTTATATATTGTTTCTCTATGCAAAAGAATAGAAAGAGCAAACAATGAATGAGATATTATAAAGTGTGCATTAAATAATCATGTTTTACGTGTTCATGTACATTAATTAAAAAGTAATTCATTGTATTTTATCTTTTTTAATCGATCTGCTGTAAAAAACAAGACAAGGCCATGCCTTGCAGTAAATATTAGTTCCGGTTCATATGTGATCAATCCTCAAAAAAAGAGTTAAAACTAGAGATGTACTAATAGCAACATAGCCTTGGGAGATTTCATATTGCTGATATCATCGGTAATCACTTTCGATATCATTTGCCTCAACTTATTAAATACTTTTTCAAGGTTCATGTTTTAAATATTAACTTAATTTATAGACAGGTTAAAGAATGCCATTAATTTAAAAATAAATTATCCATTTATTCCTAATGATCCGATTTAAGCGTTGTATCATGTTAGAAAAGATAGATAAATAAAAAATCGGCATCCCACCCCCTCCTCCTCTTAGTTAAGGAGCAAGTTATCCCTCCCTTATCTACTTCAAATTGTTGGTCGGCATATAAGAAACTGGTAAACAAGACACACTTATTTATTAATAGATATTAACGGAGTCAAGCGGTCGCTTCCGATATTCTACATATTTAACTTCCAAGGGCAGAACCATCTGGTTGCCTTTAGGAAAAAATGTGGTCTTTCTGAATTTCAAACCCAGAACTATCGGATTTTGATACACAAACTGAACCGACAGGACCATAAATGCTACTCGAAAACCTCAAAATATTTTGTATATAAAGATAAAATTACAACGCTTTTCAAAATGAATAATTCTCAAAGCTTTTTGAATGTTGAAGATGAGAATGCTCAAACAAGATTTTTTTGAGAATGATTAAACAAAATTTTTTATTGAAGGCTCATACAAGATTTTTGAATTAAATTTTATCAGAATTTCCAAATCTTTTTTCGTGATTTTATACAAAAAAAAATTTTTCATGATGATTAAAATCATAAATTTTTTCAACAAAAAGATTTTGCTTCAAAATTTGTGGGAAAAAAATCTCTAAAAATCTTTGATTTTTTTTCTTCAAACTCTACTAATAACACATATGAACCAATTGGAAGAATTATCTATTTTCGATCTATCCAAATTAGAGCTTCAGCCCCTCTCCCTCTCTTCATTTTTAAAGCCCAAATAAGTCCCTCAAAATTTTAAATGTTGATGTATTTTTATTTCTAAATTGAAACCGTTTTTTTTAATTTTTTAAAGTTAAATAAAATTTCCTATTTTTTTTGTCTCCTAATCCCAAGCATCACTTTATTTAAACAAAATATAAGCTATTCTAGGCCTGACACGTATTTTCTTTTGTAAAATTTTTTTTAGCCAGAGCTCGGCCCAATTTTTCCAAATTTATTTTTAAATCAGATCCGGCTTTGGTTCTCTAATCCAAATAGTTTATTTTTAATCTAGACACTATAGTTGGGTGATAACCATATTTTTGCCAGTTTAAGCCAATTTTTAGTCTGCTGAAAAATCGGTTGATTAAACCGAGTTTTTATCCACTAGCACTTTGGTCTAAGAGTTTTCCTTAATAGCTCAAATTTGAAAGAGATTTATATAAATATGCCTTAATCTTAACGGATTTTATCCGGCATGCGTCTGTAGATCAAGCTGAATTAGCCGACATTTAAATATTACCTAACTATACTAGCCACTCCTCGATAGTGAGATGAGAAAGGTAATTAAAGGTAATTTTTTATTACACCCCTAACGAAAGTTGGCTTAATAAATTTAAATAAGTAAATAAAATGAGAATATATGATTCGGGTGTCAAGAACGTTCCGGAAAAATTTCAGAACATGTTGTATCTTTAGGGTTTACTCAAAATTTCCTTCTGGTCTATGATTTCAAACACTTCATTAATTTGATTAATAATATTTCGAAATAGATTTTTTTTAAACCACATATAAATCATAAAAAAATTCAAATTTATTTATTTGTACATTAAGCAAGATTTTAGATTTTGGGGGAACGTCGTAAAAGGCTTCCTTATCGTCTTCTTCTTCACTTCCGCCGTTGACCCTTTTATAAAGAGTAGCCCCCCTGGGTAGGGATTCCGCGTATTCTTCAAGAATCAAAAATGGATCCAAATGAGTGTCTAATTCTTGGTAATCCAAAAACAAATATGATCTATCTCTCTCTTGACTCCGGCGACTTGTCCTCGAAAGGAAACTTGATATTTTGACTTCCTTGATCAACCAATGATCCTTATAAAAAAAATATGAAAATATATAATTTTACTAAAATGTAATCGGGATGTCGATTAATCATTTTTATAAATATTGGTCATCTAAGATATTGGCCTTCAGCAGTTATTGATTTGATATCGATAATATCCGGGTCGAATAAGGTTATTAAAATGTAGCTTTTAACTAACACTTCTAATAAATTTGATAAATAAAAATTCGTCATCAAATTATTAATAAAAACAATTATCACCTAAAAAAAGATCAATTTATACCTGTGATGGAACGAAATGAGATTTGATATCGCGGTCGTGTAAAACGCTTAAAAGGGCGTGGCAGGAGGTGAAAGCGGGTTCGGACAAGAGGAAACCTTCATCGACGATAAATTTATCGCTAGTCGGACTTATGAAAGTAGCGGTGGAAGGATTCTTATTGTTGACTTTTTTGCTCAATATCGAAGAGAACATTCCTCTCACTTCGGTTTTGTATTTGCCAATTAACGTTGTGGGATTAGGCTCTTCGCGATTAGTGCTGGCGGCAATGCCGATGGTTTCAGAGTCAAAATTATTCTTTGGGCATGGATAGGTTTGGCATATCATGGTGTAGACTAGGACATTCAAAAATTTGGCTATTCTAGAGAGGGTGTTTTTAGGATGAAAGAATAATGTTTCAGCTTCAAAGATTTCTTGATCGTCTAACAAAATTATGGCATGACTAGTTATGTCACAACACAGAATGAGAGGTTGAAAAACGTGGTGGGAGTAATTCACAAAGTGTTTCTCATTTGCTGGCTGATTCAGAGCTTTGAAGAACGAGGAGTCAAGTAAATGAGTATATTTGCTTAATAAAACATCCAATGACTCAAAATTAATCAGATAGTGCCAAAAAGAACGTATCAAGGTGTAATTGATTGCCAAAGAGGATATGATAGATAATTTGAACTGGGGCAAGATGTCCATGAGTTTTTCATACAACAAGCTTGTGTAAATTAGGCTGACAAACGAGTCACTTATTATATCCGTATCCTTCATCTTGTCAATCTTCTTATCATAGCACTTTGAAAAATGTTGGTATGAGAGTGATTTTTTTCCACTTTCATTTTTACCATTCTGGCAATAATAATTAAGAAACCGGAATCTTGATGAGGATATTGAGTTGGTATCAATTGTATCAATCTGCTTTTCTACATGTTCATTTTGGGAAAGATTTGAAAAAAAGATCTCAATCATGTCTTTAGACCACAAATATTTGATATTATTATTTATAGCATTTATAATTTCTGTATTTGGACTTATAATGGATGTCCAACCAAATATCTGATGCCATTGTAAAGTTTGCTTGTTATCAGATATCATAAATAATTCTAACCGGGTTAATAAATTTATCATTACACATGTAAAATCAGATAAATGAGAATAAAAATTCAAACATGTCAAATTATTATAAAAATAAAAAATTAAATTACTTAAAATACATAAAATGTCATTTGGGTGAATATTATTATAAATACTAATGGGAATATCATTAAATAAATATTGCAATAGGTTTTCATCATACTTTACTTTATTTGCAATATAATAAGGATGTTTTGCAATATAATCAAAATAATGGGGTATGGTAAATAAATTAATGTAATATATATTCATTACACTTGTTGAAAATTGAGCAATTTCTATAATCTTCAAGGTTACAAATATCATAGCTTTATTTAAGATGTTTGACAAGGAATTTCGCACAATTATTTTATTTATAAAAATTTTATTTAATATTTGAAAAAAACTTTCCTCAATAAATATTAATATAATATTTTGCTTAAAATCTGTGAGCTCTAAAGCATCCCTGTATTTCATCTTAAATTCTGGAATACTGAGTATGCATACAATATAATTTAAAAATAAAGTTAACAATGAATTAAATTTAGCCTCAAAATTAGGGTTATTTAAATATAGCTTGAATTTTATTATTATATCAAAAAAAAGATCACATAATAATTTATTATGTTCAAAATTATGATAATTACCAATATAAGATATGATATATTTAACAGCTTTGCAAAAACGTTCGATATCTAAACAATAATCATAGTTTTTTTCATTAAAGAGGATCTTAATATAAAAAAAACATTTTTGAGAGTCAATATTGAGATCATTTATAAAATATTGATCAAACTGTGATCGAATGAGATTTTTATAATATTTTTTTCCAATATATCTTCGTGCATAACTTTGAATTTTTATAATATTATGGCTATCATTCTTTTTAATTAGCATATCAAAAATATATCATATGGTTCAAAAACATTTGTAAAAATGGATAGATATTATAAATAACAATGAAATTTTTGCTAAACATTATTAGAGTAAATAATCATAATATTTAAAAAGTCTGATTCGTATGACAGTCACTCTTATATTCCTTTGTTCAGATTCGTGCATTTAAAACAAAGAAATATTCATATGATAATTCGTAAAGGTAATTTTTATTTCCTTTATAAAAATTTTTGGATTTAAAAATTTTATATAAATGCAATTTAAATAAAGAAGTCATTGTACTGAAAAAATGAATCAAGAAATTCCCCAGAAAAAAATTTCCCTAATAATTTTTAAAAAAATTTTCCCAATAATTATTCTTACAAATTTTTAAAAATAACCTTTTCCTCTTTCAAAAAAAAAATTGAGGGTTTTCCGCTGGGAATTATTTTCTGCTTATCGAAAAAAATACAAAATATTGTATTTATTCGCACTAAAAAAATGTCACAATAATTAAAAATCATACAACACAATTATTTGCTTGTTTTCTTTGTGACGATGTTTCAAATGAGAGAAAAAGAAAAATTCATAATTTCATTGCCTTTTTATCATATTTAAAATGAGATTGGTGAATAAACAGATCAAAAATATATGTACTATATTATAGTAAATTATTTAAATTTTAGATATTATTAATATTCATAATGTAATATTTAAGCATTTAATTTTCTTATATATGTGTGGTAAGAACTGCAATATTTCAGTGAGAAATTTTATTGGCTAAGAGGTTCTGGCTCTAAATGTCCCACCCTCGTAGTTTTAACCTTGCCAATTTATATATTTTGATCAAATCTATTTGTTTTATTTATTTTTTATTACAAAACAACAATTTTTCTTAAAGTTAGTAAAATAGATGATTTTGTGAAATATTTTTCAATAAAACTATATTTCCTAGCCATGCCATGACCCTGTTACTTAGGCGTAGCCAAGGGGGAGGGGACAAGAGGAAATCCCTCTTCCCTTTAAAAATTTATTACTTTTTGTGAATATCATTTTAAACTAATAAAAAATATCACTTTTAGTCCTCTCCCCACCCCCTGTCTCCCAAAAAATGTATACATGTATCTTAAACAATAATTTAAAAGAAAGAATGTAAAAGTTAATATTTTCTTAAACTAAAGCATTCATTATAATTCATACTGTTTTGGAAAAAAACATTTATATATAAAAAAAATAAAGCCAATAATGTTTTTAAGAAATGAAATATAAGCCAAAGATAAATTAAGATAAAAGTGAAATATTAATCATAAAATTACTAAATAATATAATATATTAAATATAGTTTTTTATGAAGTGAGTAACTTTTATTTATTTTTCTTAATAAAAGTAAAATATAATTATAAAATTATTGTTAAAATTAAATTATAAATTAAATATAAAAAAATTAATGCACAATATAAACAATAGAATATTATGTGTCGTAGATTTACAATATTATAAATTTATCTATTGTAGCATATAACAATCAGATAATTTTTACCAATAGTGAATTATATATTTTACAAAAGTCTATAAAATATTTATAAGGACATCATAAAATATCTTTTAAAAAATGTAAATGGAAAAAATAATTCTAAATTTAAGTAGCGTCATATCTAATAAGGTACATACATTGTTGGATAAATAATATGATATTTTTTTATTTAAAATAAATAGTTGTTATTAAAGAATTGACAAATTGTATATAATATTTATTATCAAAAACATTGGTTAGTAAAGTTTGTTAAAACATTAACTGTCTGTAAAAGTGGAATTTTACCTAATATTTTGTAACTAATTCTATATAATTGAGGAATATGAACTATATGTCTACTTACTTTTTATAAAGAATTTTTTTATACTTGTTTGGAATAAATTAATACCATGCTTTTGTATTAATTAATATATGTAATTTATTATATTTTATATAAACTAATAAAAATATATTTCCTAATTGTTTCAGCCTTATTTTTTGATGTAATCTCTTAACCAATTTCTTATATTTTAAATAAAGCTAATATATTTTTTTTCAAATTAAAATACCTCCTATCTTGTATTTATGACTACATATAAAATTTTAATTCCCCCCCCCCCCCCCCACTTAGGAAAAATGCCCTGTTATACTTTAAAATTATTAACAATATTAATTTCATATGTAATAAATTTTATTAGACCTTAACTGAAAGAAGCGATCTCTTTAATCCAAAAATAAATTGAAATGTATACAATTGATTGTAATTTTTAATTCAGTATATCATATAAATATAATGAATGAAATATAATAGAAAAGTAACGAGTTAAATATTTTATAAAATGTAATAAATTATAGTATCCAAGTGCATTTTATCAAATTCGAAAGTAACTAGTAGTAATAGTGATTTTTAACAAAGTTATATCTCCAATAAATCTGCCTAGAATTTACAGCACTAATTAAATTCTAATTTTATTAGCTAAAAAATTCTATTTACAAGAAGCAAATTTACAAACCCCCCCCCCCCCCCCCCCCCCCCCCCCGATTACTCCCCTATGGCAGGATGTGGTAATGTACACATTTTTAAATTAATAAACAGAATTATATATAGTTGAGCATAGAAATTTACTTTATTGCAAAAATGTTTATTATATACTAGTACTTATTTATCATTACTAAATAGAATAAGATTTTTATTATTTATTATTAAATTTTTTCCTAATTAGATCTAAGACAAAAATTATGAAAAAATAAGACATTCAAATTATTATTTAGGACACGAGAGCGCGAAGGGACCCCTAGACCAGTGGATGTTTCCAGTTAGTTACTCAAACTATCCGCATTCATCCTTATTTATCTCTAAACAAAAGTTTATTTATTTATATCTATATTATAATTTTCCGATGTCCTCATTACGTCATCGTGACGTCAGGTCATCGCTACGTCATGTCATTGCTACGTCATGTCATCACTACGTCATGTCATCACTACGTCATGTCATCGGTACGTACTTATTTTTATTTTTTATTGATGTTATTTTATTTTTTTTATAGAAAATATTTTTAGACATAATGCAAAATAAAGTTATTCATCTATATATACTAAAAAGGTTTATACTTTTCATTTTAGAATACTTAGCTTATGATGGATGATATTCCCACTATTTCTAGAGAGGTTAACCTAATATTGACTCCTCTTCAGGTTTAATACATTAATATATTTTTTATTTATTCTTTTGTATTTTAGATAACAAGGCATGTCCCAACCTCACTTAATGATTGTACAGGTGGTATATTGACTCCTCATCAGGTTCAATGCATTTATTTTTTTTATTTATTTTGTTTTTATTTTAGTTAACAAGCCATGTCCTAACCTCAGTTAATGATTGTACAGGTGGTGATTTATCCATCATTAATAAAAGAAAAAGATGGCAGATCAATCAAAAAAAGAAACGCACTAGGGATAGCGAGGACCTACAAAATAGAACATTCTCTTATTTATCAAGTATAATTTTTCTCAAAATTATATTGGGATTTTTTAATGTTAAATGTTAGTCTTATGTTATTATTTTTATAAAGTAATATATTTTACCTGTAGAATAATTGGTAAATTAGAGATTTCCTCTTCATTAATTATAAATTTTGGGCTTGGTTTCAAAATTAGGGAAGGTGGGTTAGAGAAATTCTTTTTAAATATTAAGATCCTGGATTCTTTTTTCTTGAACGTATATTGGGATTTTTTAATGTTAAATGTTAGTCTTGGATGCTTGGATATTTTTTCCATGTTAAATTTAGTCTTATGTTATTCTTTTTATAAAGTAATATATTTTACCTGTTGACTAATTGGTAAATCAGATATTTCCTCTTCATTAATTATAAATTTAATATCTCTGGGCTTGATTTTAAAATTATTAGGGAAAGTGGGCTTGAGAAAATATTTTTAAATATTAAGATCTTGGATGCTTGGATATTTTATCCAGTTTAACCTATATTGGGATTTTTATTATTATATGTTCGTCTTGTAGGGTAGAACCTATATTAGGATTTTTTAATGTTAAATGTTAGTCTTATGTTATAAATTTAATATCTCTGGGCTTGATTTCAAAATTATTAGGGAAGGTGGGCTTGAGATATTCTTTTTAAATATTAATATCTTGGATGCTTGGATATTTTATCCAGTATTGTAGGCTTGAACCTATATTGGGATTTTTTAATGTTAAAGGTTAGTCTTGGATGCTTGGATATTTTTTCCAGATATTGTAGGCTTGAACCTATATTGGGA